GGGGTCCTCCAGTAACACCCGACAGCAGCGGCTAACCCCACAGTTGTCCCACGTGGCACCCATGCCCAGTCCCTGGCGCGAGCCCCCCCCCTCATCCTCCCACGGCTGCGCTGTCCGCCCGGGCGGCGCGCAGCCCTGCTTTCACAGGGCGTTGCACTGCTCAGGTGCGTTCCCCCCTTCCCCCTTCTGGCCGCGCGCCGTTGTTTGCCCGGGCGGCGCGCGGCCCTGATTCCACAAGGTGTTGCCCCGATCAGGTGCGCCTCTCCCCTTCCTCCCTCCCGCCTGCCTTCAGCTCAGCCATCACTGGGGCGCTGCAGTCGTGGGGCGCTACCCGCGTCCCGCCGAGACGCCGCCAGCGAGCCTCGCCCGCCAGGGGCTACCCGCGGGCGGGGCTCTCCTCTTCCGCCCCCCCCCCTGGCGCGGAGCTCAGCTCCACCTTTCACTGCCGCCCCGCCGCGGACGATGCGCACGGGCCGCAGCCTGCCACATCGGTGCACCTGGTGGACACAGCATTCTGAACTCCCGGACTGTTGCCTACCTGCTCTCCATCGCCACCGCGCCCTGGCAGCGCCCACGGGCGCGCTCCCGCCTCGGCCCCGGCTGCTGCCACGGTCAACGCTGCCTCGGTCGGCCGCCCTGGCCCGCTCGACGCGGAGTTCTTCCACGTTTGAGTGCTCTCCCCTGCCTCTCCCCCCGCGCGGCCGCTCTTGTCTTTCTTTCCCCCTCTTGCACGCCGGCCAATTCGCCTTCTGGTTGCCCCGAAATTCCACGCGGTGGAGCGGACTGCTTCTGCCTCGTCGCCGACGGAAAAAATCACGTGGCCACGCCGTTCAGGGTGAGGATATGTAGCGCGTGGCCGTCGGGCGCCCCACATGCAAAAATGAGGGCGCGGACGGGGTATTTAATATGCATTTGGCGTTTGTGCAATTGGCGCGGAGTTCCTGCTTTCACGTGCCCAGGCCTGCCAGAGGGGTATCTAACATGGTGGCCCCGACCTGGAACCACGTGTTTTCACTTCTCCAGGCCATGCTGAGGGGGTATCGAAAATGGTAAATGGTTGTCCCGAGTTGGGCCCGCGTGTTTTCACGTGCCCAGGCCACACACAGGCACGTCCCATGGCGCGTCGTCCGGCACGTTCCCTGGCACGTTCCGTGGCGCGTCCCGTGGCGCGTCCCCTTAGCACGTGGCGCGCCGCGTCTTCCTAACACGTCCCCATTGGCACGTTCCGTAGCGCGTCCCCGTGGCACGTCGCGCGGCGCTTTCTTTGGCGCCTTATTTGGAACGTTCCGCGGCGCGTCCTCCTGGCATGTCGCGCAGCGTGCCCCCTGATACGTCCCTTGGCGCGACACCTGGCACGTCACTGCGCGCGTCCCCTGAGACCCCCGCCCCTTGGGACGTCACCTGACGCGTCCGCTAGCGCGTTCCTTGGCACGTCCCCAGGCATTCCTTGGCGCGGTCCCTTGGCGCGTCCCGCGGTGGCGTTTTCGCGTGGCACGCCCCGTGGCGTGTCCCGCGGCAACTCCCCCGGTGCGCGGCGCGTCCCTTGCGACGTCCCCTGGCGTGACGTCCCCTGGCACGCCACCTGGCACGCCCTTTGGTCCTGTGGCACGTTCCCTGGCTCGTCCTCTGTCACGTTCCTTGGCTCGTCCCCTGACGCTTCCCCTGCCCGTTCCGTGGCGCGTCCCTTGCCACGTCCCGTGGCGCGTCCGTTGCCATGCCCCTCGGGCTGATTGAACGTGCCGCGCGGCTCGATTGCAACCAGTTTTGTGCCAGTTATGTGTTCAGGCAGTTCGAGCGTGAGATCCAGATCAGTTCGGTCAGGATTCGGATGCTAAGGACGACTCGATCCACATTGTTATAGAGGATGTTCGCTGCATGGCATACTTTAATTCAGCACGGCACAGCACAGCACAATCTGTTGCACGGTACATCACGATCGATACACTCAGCATTGCAATTGTCCGTCTCCGAATCAGGTGTCTTGAAAACGCTGCCATGCCTCACAGTTATACATTCCTTTATGTGTTCGTGGGTCGATCATGTTACATGGGTGATTTTGGATCTTGGGCCAAAACCATGTGATTGTACGTGGGCGAGTCTCGCCCGTTAGAGTAAACCATGTGTTGTGGCAAGGGACCTTTTCGCTCGTGAACCAAAACCAAGTGTTGTTTACGCGGGTGTCTTTCACCCGTGGGCCAAAACCACGCGGTTCGGCCTTGATTCCTTTCGCCCGTGAGCCAAAATTGTGTCGATTCGTCTTGATGCAATTCGTCGTGTTTTGGTTCGCCACGTTTCGGTGTCCATTCTCCGTGCGTTTCGCGTTGGTTCGGGTTCGCCCCCTCTTGGTTCGTCCTGTTCGAATCTTGAGCGCGAGTTGGTCAAGCGCCCCGCGGGTTTCGAATGCAACCCACTCGAGCTGTGCATCCAGACAGCTTGAACTTAAGATCTAAATCACTTCAAACAGGGTTTCGACGCCAGGAACGACCTGACCCACGACGCAAAAGAGCACAGCAAACTTCAACGCGACATGGTACACTTCCATTCAGCAAGCAGGTGCAAAGGAATCGATATTCTCAGCATTGCAATTGCCCGTCGCCCAGTCCGGTGTCTTGAAAACGCTTCCATGGCTGACACATTCATATCCTTTTCTGGGTTCGTGGGTCAATCTTTTCGAGGGATCGTGGCCTCGGGGGGGGGGGCATGCACGCAGCAGTCCGCGAGTAGAGGGAGGGATTCGAGAGGGAGGGGGAGGGGGGGAGGCGGCTGGCAACTCGGCTGGTTTGCTGGCTCTCTGAATGGACGGCTGGCAGTCTGGTTGGCTGGTTGGAAGGCTGGCTGGGTGGCCAGGTGGTTTCGGAGCGCGGATCCATTGCCTCTTTACTGGATTGTGGCTGGAAGACGCGGATCCATGTATGTGGGATCGTGGCCTCGACGGCGCGAGCTGAATTTGGTCCCGGAAAGGACGCGGGTCCATATTTGTTCTTGTACTCAGTAGAATTGTTCCCGGGTCCCGTGCTGAGGTGGGCCGACGAATTCTGTCCTCTATGAATAGCGAGGTCGAAGTGGGCAGGCGAAACGTTGTTAAAGATATCTCGAGCGGAACGCTAATTTGAAATGACTATTTGACGATGTATCGAGCGAAATGCTTGTTCTGCAGAGTATGCTGGGGATGTTTCGAGCGAAACACCTTTTTTTACGTGTTCAGATCGCCGATGGTTCATTGGCTTGCGCGTCCACGTCTGCGGCGCGTCCGCTGACACGCATCCCATGGCACGTCCCTTGACACGTTCCCTGGCGCGTCCCCTGGCACGTCCACTGGCGCGTCCAGTGGTAGATTCCTTGGTTCGTCCTGTGGCGCGTTCCCTGGTTCGTACTCTGGCGCTTCCCCTGCCCGTTCCGTGGCGCGTCCCCTGGCGTGTCCCTTGCCACGTCCCCTGGCGCGTCCCCTGGTACGCCCCCTGCCCGTACCGTTTACGTGCAACCCTCTACCTTGTACCGCTTACGTGCAACTCTCAATTTCGCAACGTTTACGTGCAACCTTTTGTGTTGTACAGTTTAAGTGCAGTCTCGTGTCTTGCACCTTTCACGTGCAACCATTATCCATGCATTTTGTCGTGTTGCATAATTTGCGTCCAGCCCTTAGTTGTGCGCCGTTTACGTGCAACCTCAGCACGGCACAGCGCAGCGCAGCACTGCCCTTGGTACGGTATCGTCACCACCGATGTCTTAAGCACTGCGATTGCCCATCGCCCAATTGAGGTGTTTGAAACGTTTCCGTGCTTCGCAGTTCTAATTAGTTGTCCCCGTTCGTAGGTTGTTCATGTTTTTTTTTTCATACCAGACATAATGGCCTCGAAGGCGTGGGCCCATCGTTTCTCACAACAATGGATCGTGGCCTCGAAGGCGAGTCCGCATATGTTTTGTAGAACGGGTCGCGGCACCAGAGGCGGGTGCGGATCCAGTGTTTTGGGTTCTGGCTCGTGGCGTCGAGGGCGCGGACCCATGGTGTGTTGTCACGGATCGTGGCCTCGAAGGCACGGGCCATGGTTTCGTTGCTACAGACCGTAGCCTCGGAGGCGCGGACCCGTTTGTTCTTGCACAAAGGATTTGGAGCCTCGAATTCGTGGATCCCGTGAATTCGAACGTGTCGCCAGGCAGTTTGAAGTTCAGAGGGCTCGGGGATGTTGACGGGACCTTGTCGGGCAAAGGGCTGTCGAAAAAAATCTGGCCGAGGGCGGTCGGGCACGTTTTCAGAAAGGACCCTCGCTTGCTGAGATGCCAATCATCCGCACGCCATCGCTCGGACGTGTGCCCTTTTCTCGGCGAGCGCCATCGAGGAGCAACCTGGATTATCCTGCAAGCGGGCCGAACTTCGTGGCATTTTCGTTGCGCGCTGACCCGTCGAGGAATTAACTACTCAAGGCCAGCTTATTCCCTTGTGCTCGCGCCGCGGAAATGTTACTTCAGACGGACTTGTTCTTTGGGCACCGCTTCTGTGTGTGAAAAAATGTTTGGATCACCTTGCAAGAAAGCGCACGCACGAAACCGAAAAAATGCACGGGGAACGGACGTCCGAGCGGCGGCAAGTCAGTTGAGTGCTCTGAGAAAGAAAGGCTTGTAAATGTCAGTTGTCAGGCTGCTGAGCTCCTAAGGATATTGCTACGTGTCGCATTGCTCCATGGCCTTAGCTTCCCAATTGCCACATAGGGGGGCTGGTTCTGCTCGTTCAATCTCGTCGAGTTGCTGTCCCTTTCTCACCGTGCACCGCTGGACGCTTCACGCGCAGGCACCCATTAAGCCTCAGCGAAGCGGATGTAACGATGACTAGTTTGCGACGAGCACACGCGATCGATTGGCGGTTTTGGCCCAGTCAGCGCTTGACTGCGTATGTAATTACGTGTGCGCATCGTGTGCCCACGAAAGGCCCCAGCCGGAGCCGAAGCGGGGCGTACAGGCGTGGACGCGGCAGCGCAGGAACGGAACGCACGGTCGCAACGTCGATGGAGCAGGGGAATGGGGAGGTGGAGAAATCGGACGAGGATGACGGTGATTTGGTCTGCCTATTTACGGCAGGTTTGTGACGCGTCGGCAACGCTGGCGTGGGCGTTCAAGGACGAATGCTGTCGGGCGGCCTGAGCCAGGACAGCCTCGAACAATCTCGGCAGTCAGAAAGCCGCGGTCACTCGAGGCTGAACGACCCATGCGGTGTTAGAAGCCAGCACCCCAAGTCGCCGCGACACGACCTCGCCGCACAGGTGCAGTCCATGCGTCCTGTCTGGCGGACCTCGGCGCCCCCGCTCTCGGTGCGCCCCGTGCCACCCCGCGGTGCCGCAGTGCCGGCCGCTTGGCCCGAGGCCCCCGCGCCGTCCGCGCTCTTGGGGCGGGGCGATGGGTGACGGCGGCGCCCAGGCGCGGGACACGCAACGCCACCACGCCTAAACGGGGCCATCCTTGGGCCCAGGATGTCCCCGCAGGTCCCTTCTCGGTCCGATCGATCCGGTCCGATTTCGATTCTGGTCGATTCGATCCGATTCGACTCCGAAATGCCGACGACTCGTTGCGGCCCGATGCTTGCATGGCGCTGATGCACATCCTGCCGAAGCCGATCCGTTTCCATTTCGGCCCCGTACCGACGTGGCCCGATCCGACGTACATTCCGATGCCGATGCGGCCCGATCTGTCGCATTCGATGTTGAGTGAGTTTGCCCCAACATGGTGGTGCATCGGGCGACGGAAGCTATCTGCTGGTCTTCGGCCCATCCCGCCACCGTGCCTGGTTTGTGGGTCTGAGGCCGGTTGGATGTTCGTTGGGACGCGGGGGGATTCCTCGGGGGCCTCGTGGAGGCAGTTGTGAGGCCTCTTGGGGGTTTGGGGCGGTATTGGGAGCCTCTTGGGCCGTCTTGGAGCGTCGGAGGCTCGAAAAGTCGAGAACCCCAAAAACACTGAAAAACTTGTTAGGGAAATAAATGGTAGCCACCGTGGACTCCAAACACCGTGTCTCTAGAAATACGCGTGGTGAAATACGTGTGGTGCAGCAAGTGTGGAGCATTAGTTCAGCAGCTGTCGGTGGTAAGCATGAAATGCGCATTGTACCAAGACGTCCCCATGCCTGACGACATATCCGCGCAAACCATCCAGGTTCACCTCGGCGCGCATCTCTAGCATTGATGTCTTTAGCTGCCCGCACGGCGATGGCAGCGCGGACATGGCGCATTTGGGCGCCATGACGAGGCCCGTGCCTTCGACGGAGAGTCACAGGCGGTCGCCCGCGTTCACATAGTCAGTTGTCGGAGCCGGCATGAGCCAGAGCGGCTACAGTTTTTAATGATGACGATGATGAGGATGAGGATGAGGATGATGAGGATGACGAAGATGGGACGATGATGATAATGATGATGATGGTGATGATGATGCTGATGATGATGTTGATGGTGATGATGATGTTGTTGATGATGATGATGATGATGATGATGATGATGATGATGATGATGATGATGATGATGATGATGATGATGATGGCGATGCCACGCCTGCTATGCCCTGGACGACTGGGGCGCGTAGCAGCCGCGCTGAAAGACCACCCCTTGCGCAACCCCTACGGTGTCGAGAAAGTGCCACGCCTGCTATGCCCTGGGCGACCGTGACGGGTAGCAGCCGCGCTAAGAGACCACCCCTTGCGCACCCCCTATGGTGTCGAGAAAGTAGCACGCCTGCTATGCCTTGCACGACTTGCGTGCATAGCGACCGCGCTGAGAGACCACCCCTTGCGCAATTCCTACGGTGTCGAGAAAGTGCCACGCCTGTTATGCCCTGCACGACCGGCGTGCATAGCGGCCGCGCTCAGAGACCACCCCACGCGCACCCCCTATGATGTCGAGAAAGTGCCACGCCTGCTGTGCCGTGGACGACTGGGGCGCATAGCGGCTGCGCTGAGAGACCACCCCTTGCGCAACTCCTACGGTGTCGAGAGAGCGCCACTCTTGCTATGCCCTGCACGACCGGCGTGCATAGCGGCCGCGCTCAGAGACCACCCCGGGCGCACCCCTATGGTGTCGAGAAAGTGCCACGCCCCGGACACCCTCCAGACTCCGGAGCACGACGCAAAGAAGACCCCAAAGAGAGTTTCGAAAAGCAAAAAAGCAATGATTTCCATATTTTGTCAATGATTTTGGAATGTTCTGTTCTTCGGTATTCCAGGCGGCCGTGACCGCCCAGGAGGCCAAAAATCGTCCAAAAACCAACCAAGAGGGCTTCCAGGCAGTCCGAGAGGAGCCCCAAGACGGCCCAACAGGGCCCCAAGATGGCCCGAAGAGAGCCCATGACGGCCTAAGATGGCCTCAAGACGCCACCCGAATCATTTCAAGTCGTGACCAGGTCGGTCAGGGAGAGCGCGGTTGGAATGTGGGTGGCCCGAGGAAGCCCCCAGAAGGAACCCAGGAGGCCTCCAGAAGGCCCCAACAAGCCCTTAAAAATTTTCGTGAGGCCTCCAAAAGGCTCTCCGAGGAGGAGCCTTCGCAAAACGAGCTGAGGATAGGGACGAGTTCGCAGGATAGGGCAAGAATGAGGAAGAGGCAGAGGAAACGTGAGGGAATAACAAGCAATAACAGTGTTACAGCGATGATGTCGAAGACAAGGACATAACAAAACATGGTATAATTAAATGTTCCGTTTTATCTTACTGCCCTCCCACTTGCATGTTAAACCTCAAGGACCAAGGTGCATGGCGCGAAGCGCCAATGCAGTCTTGTATACAAATATGTTTATGTACATATAAATGCAGAAATGCGTGTAGAAGTATCGGAAGTTGGGGGTGTGAGTGGAAGTGACCCCAACAGGGAAATCGGTTTCGGTTTCGGTTCGTGTCGTGCGTGCGGGCGAGGCGAAGTTGCGCGCGTTCTTGCAATTGTAGAGGCCACATGGAGCCAAAAGATCGCCCGCCCAGCCCTCCAGCCGGACGCGGCCCCCGATAGTTGCCCCGCGGGTTGTTTTGATGGTTGTCCCGATGGTTGCGATGGTTGTCCCAATGCTTGTCCCGATGATTGTCCTGGTGCGTGCCCCGATGGTTGTCCCGACGGTTGTCCCGATGCTTGTCCCGATGGTTGTCTGGTTCTCCCGATGGGTGTCCCGATGAGTGTCTCGATGGTTGTCCCGACAGTTGTCCCGATGGTGGTTCCGATTGTGTTGTTCCGATGGTGTTGTCCCGATGGTGTTGTCCCGATGGTGTTGTCCCGATGGGTGTCCGATGGTTGTCCCGATTGGTGTCCCGACGGTTGTCCCGATGGTTGTCCCGATGGTTGTCCCGATGGTTGACTCGATGGTGGTTGTCCCGGTGGTGGTTGTCCCGATTGGTGTCCCGATGGTTGTCCCGATGGGTGTCCCGGTGGTTGTCCCGATGGTTGTCCCGATGGTTGTCCCGATTGGTGTCCCGACGGTTGTCCCGATGGTTGTCCCGATGGTTGTCCCGATGGTTGACTCGATGGTGGTTGTCCTGGTGGTGGTTGTCCCGATTGGTGTCCCGATGATTGTCCCGATGGGTGTCCCGATGGTTGTCCCGGTGGTTGTCCCGATGGTTGACCCGATGGTGTGCCCGATGGTTGTCCCGATGGTTGTCCCGATGGTTGTCCCGATGGTTGCCCAAATGGTTGTCCCGATGGTTGTCCCGATGGTGTTGTCCTGATGGTGTTGTCCCGATGGTGTTGTCCCGATGGTTGTCCCGACGGTGGTTCCGATGGTATTGTCCCGATGGTGTTGTTCCGAAGGTTGTCCCGGTGGTTATCCCGATGGGTATCCCGATGGGTGTCCCGATGGTGGTTCCGATGGTGTTGTCCCGATGGTGTTGTCCCGAAGGTTGTGCCGGTGGTTGTCCCGATGGTTGTCCCAGTTGTCCCGATGGTAGTCCCGATGGTTGTCCCGATGGTTGTCCCGACGGTTGTCCCGATGCTTGTCCCGACGGTTGTCCCGACGGTTGTCCCGATGGTTTCCTGGATGGTTTCCCCGATGGTTGTCCCGATGGGTGTCCAGACGGTTGTCCCGATGGTTGCCCCGATGGTTGTCCCGATGGTTGTCCCGATGGTGTTGTCCCGATGGTTGTCCCGATGGTTGTCCCGATGGTTGTCCCGATGGTTGTCTCGATGGTTGTCCCGGTGGTTGTCCCGGTGGTTGTCCCGATGGTTGTCCCGATGGTGGTCCCGATGGTTATCCTGATGGTTGTCCCGATGGTTGTCCCGATGGCTATTTTGGTGGTTGTCCTCATGGTTGTCCCGATGGTTGTCCGGATGGTTGTCCTGATGGTTGTTCTGATGGTTCATAGATAGACAGATATATATATATATATATATACATGTATATGTCTACGCAGGTATATGCATAGATAGATAGATGGATCGATATGTTGATAGATAGATAGATAGATAGATAGATAGATAGATAGATAGATAGATATATAGATAGATAGGTGTCCTGAATCGATAATTCGATATATAGGTCGATAGATGGGTAGATGCGCGCGACAATAGGAAAGTAAACTAAACCACCAGAGAACCCAGAAGCATCGTAAGTCGACCGCCTACTCCTTCCCCCCCAACCTCCTTATCACTCGTAGGGTAGTCCGATCGGTATTCATATGTATGTATGCGTGTGCCGGTGTTCCCATACGTCGGTCTCAATATCTATCAATCCATCCTAGCACTGAAGTTATGTTCGAAATATCTCTGTACATATATATATGTGTATGTATACCGATATCGATTCGATCCTGCCATACATGTGAGTACATGTGCCAATATCGGTATACGTATTTATACTTGTGTGTGCCAATTTCGCCATCAGTCACAACGACGTGGCAACCACAGCACAACCGATTGGCAACCAGAGGGCTATCGCATGAGAGCCTCGGCACAAATACGGCACATCGGTCTGAACATGAATCAGTCGAATCTGAAAGTCTTGATCTCATTATCTATCGATCGGCCTACCTACATATATATATATAGAGAGAGAGAGAGAGAGAGTGAGAACCACGGGACAACCACAGGACAACAACGGGACAACCACGGGACAAACATGGGACAACCATGGACCAACCACGGGACGTCAACGGGACACCCTCGGGATAGTTACGGGACAACCCTTGGACAGCCTCGGGTTAACACGGGGACAACCAAGGGACAACCACGCGACAAGCACGGGACAACCACCGGGCAACCATTAGGCAACCACAAAACAACCACCGGAACAACCACACAACAACCATGAAACAACCATAAGACGACCACGAGACAACCACGGGGCAACCGCGGGACAATCAAGGAGCAACCACGGGACAACCACGAGATAATTCCAGCACAACCAGGGGACAGCCGCGGGACAACCACGGGACACCCACGGGACGACTTCGCGTCAACCACGAGGCAACTATGGGACAACCACAGGACGGCCACGGGACAACCTCGGGACAACCAGGGGACAACCACAGGACAACCATGGGACAATTACTGGACAACCACGGGACAACCAGGGGACAACCACGGGACAACCTTTGGACAGCCACGGGACAATCATGGGACAACCGCGGGACAACCGCGGGGCACGCCCCAGGAGGACGGGTGTCTTTTGGGCGCGACCGGGGCCTAGCTAGTGCACGAACTCGCGCTGCTTCGCCTGGCACGCACGACACGGGCCGAAACCGACACTGGTTTTTTGGCTGGGCGCCTCCGATTCACTGTGGCCCCACCCCCCCACCTCCCATCCACGGCCTTTGGCCAGGGGCAGTGGACATGCATAGATCAAGCCTCCCTGGTACAGACATTCCCTCTGCGGACAGGAGCGCTGCGGCTTCTGCGTGGTGCTCTTTTACCTCTACTCCGAGGACCTGCCGGCCACCCTGGGCCTGGACGGCGTGGAGGCTGTGCGCGCCGCCCACGAGGCGCTCTGCGGGCTCTTCGGCCTGGACGGCCGACTGCGGGTGTCCCGGGAGGGGCTCAACGGCAACCTCAGCTCGGGTGTCGCCAAAGGTGTCCTTGGCCCAGGGTGCCCCCAGGATTCCCCACGGCCTCCAGGACACCCCCTCACGAGGCCCAGAGGGCCACAGGGGCCCCAGAACGGCGCGAGGAGCTGGGGGCACCGGGAGCCAGGACCACCCCTGGCAGCCCCCGATCAGCGGCCCCGCGGGCCAGTGCCACGAGTATTGTGCCTTCCTCCTGGGTGGGGAGGCCCAGGAGTCGCCAGCGCCGTTGCCAGCGGAGGTCGGGCCGTTGCGGGGGTCCGCACCGTCGTGCGACTTCAAGATCGCGCCTTGCGAGCAGGAGCGGCGCCTCCTGCAGCATTGCATGACAAAGCACTATCGTCACAGCGGCACACCGTCGAGTCAGCCTCGCGCATCGCGGTGCGGCATAGCCTAAGAAGGGCGTGGCAGCCGCATGGCATTGGATCCTCGAGTCTTGCAGTGCCGGGCAGAGGATGACACGGTACATCGTGTCATAGCATATTGCCACCACACCATTGTAGATTGTAGCTAGTGTTGCAAAGCATGGCCTAGCACAGCATAAGTGTACGATTGTATAGTAAGCCATGTGTTGTTGTACAGTCTACACATGTGATGTCGTAGCATTTGGGTTGCCTCACGTACCATCTAAAATCAGAGCAGAGTAGAGGCACCTTCATTACATAGCACGCAAGCGCATTACGTATTATCGAACGCGCCTACGGCGAATCACCGCGGCCCTTTGCATTTCTAGAAATGCCGATGTGGCCAAACGTTGACCTAAGCTTGGCCAAGCGACTGGACTATGCATTTCCCCAGCCGCTGCGGAAACCATAGGGGGTGAAGATTTGGGGAAGTAAGAGGGAGGAGGAAGCAAGCTAGACTCGCTCGCGCCATATCTGACATGCTACCCCACTCACCCATCCATTCCCATTGCGCGAGTGTTTCCTCTATCCGTGGACGCGTGTCATAGCGGACCTGGAACTCCGAAAAGGATCCCATCGTGTCATGCGCAATCACACAGGGGAAGCTGCGTGAATAGGAGGAGCAGCAGGAGTATGAGCAGGAGGAAAAAGGAGGCGGAGGAAGAACGAGGAGGACGAGGACGAACAGCAGCAGCAGGAATTGGAGTGGAAGGAGCGGGAGGAGCAGATCGTCCAGGGGAATTCGGAACTCGGAAATCCGCGAAAAGACGCCAAAGGGCATCGTTGCTGGGGGTGTGCACTGGTCCAGGGGGAGGAGGGGGAGGGGAAAACAGGGGGACAACAGCGATGAAGAAGGACTCTGATCCAGAAAAGAGGCTGGCGTTGGGGCGAGAAAACCCCGATCCTGCAGTGAGGCCCACGTTGCAGCGGAAGCACCGTTTTCTGATGGTAAAATCGTATATGTCAAAGGGAACAAAAGCATTGCAAACAATTATGACGTATATTGTGCATAAAAAAACGGAGGGCGCGCCATTATCAAGACGCATTCGTGGGAAAGAGTAGAATTGTAACGGCCTTGGTCACGGCGATGTGTTCCTCGGACGACAGCGCCGCGATATTATTCGATTTCACGGCGGCCTTCCCGTCGATCGAGCACGAGTTCATGCCGAAGGTTTTCCAGCACCTCTCCTGGCCTCACCGGCTGCTCCGCTTCATTGAGGTTCTGTACGCCTTCAACACTTGCGAGCTTGCCATGGGCGGGTCCTGGCAGCAGGGTTTCGTGATCCTTCGAGGAGTTCGCCAAAGCTGCCCACTGTCCCCGCTTCTCTTCGCGGTGGCGACAGACGCCTTGTTGCCCCGGATAATGCGCAAGGTTCCAGAGAGCACATTGCGCGCGCACGCGGACGACACCGCCTTGGTGCACCAGAACATTTGGAGAGTGCTGCCCCAGATTGAGCTCATCTTCTCTGAGTTCCAGAGCATGTCGGGCTTGGCGTCGAACGTCGACAAGACAGTGTTCGTACCCCTCTCCGGGGAGAATTTGGAGAGCACCCGCGAGCGACTGGCGCAAGCCGCGCCGCTCTGGGGTTCCATGAGCGTCGCCCGATGTGGCAAATACCTGGGCTATGTCATCGGCCCCTGTCGCGGCGTCCTGTCTTGGGACGCCCCGATCGGCAAATTCGCCAAGCGGGCGCGCATTTGGGGAGGTTTGGGCTTGAAAACCACGCTCGCCTGCCGAGCCTTCATCCTCTCGACGTTGCTGTTCGTCTGCCTGCTGGACCCGCTACCGCAACGAGCGCTGGAAGCGGAGGAGTCCGCACTCAAGTCTTTGTTCCGGGAGCATCCCGGCTAGTCTTCGGGCCCACTGTTGAAGTCCTTGACATGGCTCCGCTTTCCCTCTGAACTCCCAGGCCTGGCCTCGATCTCGGTTGCCGCGAGGGCGCGCGTGGCGTTGCACGAGAACTTGAAGCAAGGCGGGCTGCGGGTCAGCCCAATAGCTCGCCAACTTCGGCAACTGCTGAGCCGTCCGGACTGCGCGGCTCGCGCGCTGCACCATGGCGGTTGGATTTCATTTAGTTGTTCATTTTCGATGGAAATTGCCGTGCTGCAGGTGCGTGGCGTCCAGAGTTTGGACGCTGCCGAACTGAACCTCGGAGACGGTCGCCACCTTGCGACGGGCTGGCAGGCTCGGATCAGCAGGGCATTGCGGCCGCCGATGGAGGTTGACGCCCAGATCCACTTCCGGCGCAGGTTCGATCACTGGCAAGTCCGCACGTTGCCAGGACATCGCGCGCAGTCGCTCCGCAAACAGATGTGCCGGCTCTCCGCGTTGGTCACCCTTTGGGTGCTGTCCGCGACCCTTCGTGCTGCTATGAACGGCTGGGCGACGGCCAGCCGATTCGGAACGTGGGCCCCGTGCTGCCTCGGCTGCCCCCGTGGCTCCGACGCCATCAAGCACTACGCTAGCTGCAGTGTACTGCACGAGGCTGCGAGCCCGCTGGCTGGGGCTCAGCCGACCGCAGGCGGACAGCCAGCTCGAAGACTCCGTGGGGCTGGGCATCACAACGGCTCGCTCAGTATACGCACCTGGGGCCGGCCACGAGGACCGCTTTGAAATTTGCCGGGCGGTCGCTGTATACGCGACTTTCCGTGTACAGGCTGCAGTTCGTCACGGGACGCCGGTCGCAGATGCCCTTGGCTTTTGTCGCGGCTACATTCGCGAAGCCACGCTCGGGCACCCCGCCAGCGCGCACGCCGTGGCCCTCGCCCACAAAAGGCAGCGGCAGCATTGAGCATTCAGCATCCTCTCTCCCCTTTCGTCGTCGTCGCCTCTTTGTTCCTTTCGTGGGTTTGAAGTTCACCCTATCGTGCCGGCACTCGGCCGTTCGATACTCGAGGGCGTGCTCCCTGTCTTCGGCTCTTTAATTTTCGGCGCGGGGTTTTGCCTGGATTTCCCCATTTCGTCCTCCTCTGTGTCCCCTGTTTCCTCCTCTTTCCCCCCGCGAAGCCTACTTCTCTGCGCTGGCACTGCAGTGGTCATGAGGGCGCCCAGAGTGGCAGGCAGTTGGGCGATGACCTCCGCGGCATATGGATCGGCATGTCGCTCCGTTCTCCCAGGCCATGGATGCGCGCGACGGCTCGCCCATGGCAGGTTGGCTGGAGCGCCGCTCTTGGTTGTTGTGTTGATATCTTCTCCTCCTCCTCCTCCTCCTCCTCCTCCTCCTCCTCCTCCTCCTCCTCCTGTTCTCCTCTTTCTTTCTGCTCTTCCCCCCTCTTCCCCACTCCGTCTCACCGATTCGAATTTGGGGTATTTCGGATCGCTGCCCGCGCCGAGGCGTGCACACAATGTTTGCCCCTCGGCATTTCAACTTATTTTTTTCGCGGGCGATGTTGCTTATATCTGGGATGTTGTTGAAAACGAAGCTGCTGGTCAGTCTCTGCCGCGTATCGCCACGGAGTGCACAGGCGATTCGAGTGTTGTTGCGGTCGTCCCCTCCCTCATGCACCTCCTTCTTCTTCCGAAAAATAAGCAGTTGTACAGGAAGGAGAAAGGCGAGGAAGAGGGTGAGGAGGCCTTCTGGGATATTACTATGGCCTCTTAGGGGTTTCCGACAGTTAGGTGAATATGTTGTTGGTGAATGTTTTGACGGACTGTAAGATGGTTCGTGGCTGGGCCGCGGATCGTCTTTGCTGCCCTTTTCAGACGACAGCCCGCCATTCTTGTTTACATAAACTATTGGAACGATCTTCCCTTGTCACAATTCGGCGCTGGAACCCACGCCGCGGGCTGCTGCAACCGCTGCTCCTCATAAAGGTTGGGCGCACCCTTTTTGACGGCATCTGCTTGATCAATATTTTCCGTCGTGAAAATTGGGTGTTGGAACCCGCGCCGCGGGCTGTTGGAGCCACTGTCCTCGCAAAAGTTGCGTGTTTCAGCCCAACCTTCTTGAAAACACGATCTGCTGAAACTATCTTGGCCGTTCTGGAAGCCGCCTTGAGGCAGCCTGCAGCGGCAGAGCCGATGGGCTACACAAATTCTCCGCGGGGCCAGCGGGCCGGGTTGGAGGCCCGTGGAAGCCTACAAGAGGGACGAAACAGTCCACCGCCCCCTGTTGGCTTCCCACAGACGATGGCTCTCTTATTCATTGTTTTGCCGATCGGCGCGGGCCCTCGCACCCCACCCATCCCCCCCATAGAGTAGATCTTGGCTGTTTTCGGCGCTTGTTTCAAGCAGGTGGAGTCTCCCCCATGGGACGCACGGTTGCAAACAGTCGCATTAAGCAGAGGTCCCGAGCCAGACCCCCCCTCCCCCCCCTTCCGCCCAATGTTGAAACGCCGAAAAACGAAGCGTTCACCTCAGGGGAGGAGGCGTGCCAGATTTTGGGTAGCTTTTGTTTTTTGAAGAGGTTCCCAGTGGGGTCTCGGCCGCGCGGAAAGCCCCACCGATCTTGTTCTCCATTGACTTCCCCCCGAAGATGGTCCCAAGATGGCCTCCGAGATGGCTAAGATTGCCTGCAAGATGGCCTCAAGACAGCCCCGCAGCCTTTTTGATTCAAGCTATCTTGACTCAGGGGTTCCTGGAATCGGCAACCCCTCGCCGCCCTGCGCGCGCCATGGACCCTCCCGCCGCCACCGTGGCGTCCTCCGTGCTGGCGCTGGGGCTGGCGCCCTGCGCGCCTCGTGCCCTGGCCCTGGATCTCACCGTGACGCCCGCAGGCCGCGGCCCTGCCGGCGCATCCGAGGCGGCGCCGTGCTGCCAGGACCACCCGACTCACCAGCTGACGGCGCGCGCGGCGCCTCCGCAGCAGGGCCCTGGCGGCAGAGCGAGGCGCCGGCCCTCCAGCGCTTCCGGGGCCACGTCCTCCGGGGCCTGGCCGCCGTGCGCCAGCAGGGGCGCTGCCCCGCGACGGAGTCGCTGCTGTTTCCGGGCCTGACCGTGGCGAGCCCGCGGCGCTCGGGAGGCAGCCGCCCAGGCGGCGGCGGGAAGGTGACGCCCAGGGGCACGGCGATTTCCACCACCATGGCCTCCGACGAGTGGGCCGGGGCTGGGGGTCTGGACGGCGGATGGTACCAGCAGGGGGACGCACGCTGCCCGTAGTGCAATCGTCGTTGCCAGCAGTGTGGCCCGTGCCGTCTTGCGGTGCAGTGCCAGGGGCGGCAGAAAGGGCGACGCAGGCCACCGCATGGGCTTCTGTCGCGGCGCCGTGCGGCGGACTGTGACCGATTGCAGCTTTGTGTAGATGTCTTTGGTTTGTCTGCCTGTTGCTGCTACTCCTCGGCGTTTCACTTAGGGCGGCCAGGGCGGGCGGGCGCCATTGTCTTGGCTCTCTCGTCAGCTCTGGGTGTCTGCTCGCCTGCTGCGGAAGCGCAATGCAGTAATTCAATGGCGAGCTCATGCCACGAGGTTTTCAGAAGCCGACCCCGTCATGGCCAATGGCTCGCGGTAGCAGGTTCGCGCCTTGATGATATGTTCAAAATTCATAGTGCACGCGCGAAGGCGATTCGTGTATCGGCGTTGCCGCCGGTTATCCAAGTTCGATATGGCCGCGCACATCATGGTTGCCAGCTTGGACCCTGGCGCAAGCGGAGCCTTTTGGCAGTGGCGGGAGGAAGACGACAGATGGGAGGGCGGGAGTTGGAACGCAGAGAAGGACGCGCGCTGGGCCCTCATCAGGAGAGTTGCTTGGACCCATTGGACCCCGCACAGTGCGCATTTGCACTCAGGATACATGTGATCTTGATTTGGGGGCTAACAAGTGCAACCATTGTTTGGGTGAAATACATGCAAGAAAATTCAATCGTGCATGGGTGCATCAACAGACCTGAAAGCTGAAAGTGCTTGCGACTAATCAAATGTGCCACAGGTGACCGTCACTGCGACTGCTGCCGCAGTGACTTTTGCACCGCATAGTTTTACAGACCCGAACTGCAGTAATCGCCCTCAGGATTCGAAGCACACTGACAATACCCGAGCAGGGTGCCTGACGAAACATCGCCTTGCAGAGCCTGCCACTAGAGCACGGCGAGCTGTAATCAATCGACAGCAGGTGTTGAAGCACATCGTCCAGTTGTTGAAGAGTATCCTTTCCCCTCCTCCCCCTCCTGCTCTCCTCTGCCTGGGCCTCTGTTTTCTCCTTCTCGCGAGGCATGTCTTCTTGCACCTAGCTTTCATACAGAGGCCGTTGCGTTTACAGGGTGAGCGCTACACAGCAGAGGCAGACTGGCTGTGCCAGCTGCCTTTGTCAGTAGCCCCGTTTTCGCAGTAGCCCCCTCTGTCAGTAAGCCCCGTAATTTGTCATCTGGGAAATTACGTGGTCATGAATTTTGCAAGCACGCCCAAGGTGGCGCTTCCCTGCTGTGTGAAATCAAGTGTGCGCGCTCGCTTAAGCAGAGCTCCTGCCACATCAGTTCAGAATCGCGAGGCTTGCGCGGCACTCATAAATCACATGTCGCTGAACCACTGAACATGTTGCAGAGCCGTGCGAGTCGACAGATCGCAAGTTGCTACTGCTGCCCGCATCGTTTCCGGGGCGCCCCCTGGACACGTCTTCGGCTGCCCACGGGCTGGATCGTCCAACCGACACGCCCAGAGATCTAGCGGCGCGTGATCTTCTTTGCATCAGTATGTGCCGTGTCACGCTGCAGCTTGCCAAATTCGGGCTCGTTGTGTTGCGGTTCGGCAAGACTATGCCGCGGCCGATCCAGTCTTAAGACATATAGCGCACTGGAGAATCGAGACCAGGGGATTGTAGAGCATGCGCTCTGACACACTAGCCTTGCACGTTTTCACGCCTCAATTTCCTCCCCATCTTCTTCCTCGTTTTTTATCTGCCTCGTCATCTCTGCCATTCCCACCTCAGCTTCGTGATACAGATCATGCGTTCTCTGAGGGTATCTTGACCGTCTGCGGCTTCCCTGGGGGACAGCCAACCCACAGAAAAACAATGCTTCAAGAGAGCCCCAAATGGCCGCAAGGTGTCTCCAAGACGGCACAAGAGGTATCCAAGAGGTCCTCCAGGAAGGCCCGAAGGGGCCCAGATCTCTGATTGTCCACAGGATTTTCCCGACCATCTTGTTGTGTCGGGTCCTCGTTTCCGATACGCATCGCCCCGCGTTTCATTCATCCCTTCCTCCTCCCACATCTGCTTCGGCGCACCCCTCACACATTCCGTCGCCCCACGGAGCTCCACCAAAGGCGCCAAAATCCGGGTCCGCATATTTTCTCCACCTGATTCCAGCGTACCTCTCACGCGCTTCGTGGCCCCATTGGGAGCTCCACTTGTGGCCCAAAATCTTGGTCCGCATACCTTCTCCACGCCGTTTCGGCGCACGTCTCACACGTTTCGGGGCTCCATTCGGAGCTCCACGTGAGGCCCAAAAATCATGGTCCGCATACCTTCTCCACGTCATGCCGGCTCACCCCTCACAAGTTGAGTGGCCCCATCGGGAGCTCCACCTAAGGCCCAAGAATCCTGGTCCGCAAACCTTCTCCACGCCAGTTCAGCGCTCCTGGAGCTCGCGCTCGAGGCTGGTGAAGTCGAAGTCCTCGTGCTCCACATGGGGGCGCGGCCTCCGCATCGGCACGGGGCGCGAGCGCACCGCCGTGCCCCTGCCGTGCTGACCCTGCTGCAGCGGCGGCTGCTGCCTTCTCCTGGGCCTTGGCGATCCCCTCGGCCCTGTGGGTCGCCGCCTGCCGGCTGGCGTTGTCCCGCAGCTGCTTGATCACGCCGTCCGTGTCCTTCGGTTCGATGCGCAGGCCGCTGCGGACACCGCCGCGGCGGATCAGCGAGGCCTGCACCGTCCAGTCCAGCTTCTCCACGTTCTTGATGCCCTCCGCGTGGCTACAGGGGCAGTCGTCGGCCTTGCGGCGGCAACTTCCCCAGCACGCGGCATCCCAGCATTTCGACCGGCCCTCGCGGTCGTTAGGGGCATGGGCGTTCGCGCGCTTCTGCTCGTCCGCTGAGAGCGGGCGGCCAGCAGGGCAAACGTTGTTGTCCCCATTCGGGGCGGGCTGCGGCGCCTTAGGCACGGCGGGGGCGGGCGGCGACGCCTTCCCCTTTGGGCCGTCTTGGGCCATCTTAGAGCCATCTTGGGCCGTCTTGGCGGTTTCCTGGCCCGTCTGGCGCCGTCGGAAGCTGTCTTGGGGGCCTCTCTGGGCCGACTGGTGGCCCTCTTGGGGCGCTTCAGGGCCGTCTTGGAGGCCATCTTGGGCATCTTGGAGGCCTCTTGGGCCGTCTTGGGGCCCTCCCGGGACGGTCTTGGGGGCCTCTTGGGCCTTCCTGGGGCCGTCTTGGAGGCCTCTTGGGCGATCTATCTTTGGAGGCTCTTGGGCCGTCTCAGGCTGTCAGAAGGTCGAAAAAGAGCAAATGCCAAAATATTTTAAAGACCTATGTAAAATCAACGATTTTGGCCTCTTCGGGCCTTCCTGGAGACCCTCTTGGAGGCATCTTGGGGGCCTCTTGGGCCCTCTTGGACCGTTTTGGAGGCTTCTTGGGCGGACTTGGAGGCATCTTAAGCCCTCTCGGGCTGTCTTGGAGGTCACCTTGGACCATCTTGAGCGAACTTGAGGGCCACCATAGCCATCTTGGGGGCCATCTTGGAGCCGTCCGGAGCAGGAAAACACTTCGCAACCGGGTCTTGCGATCCCTTCCGGGCCTTCCTGGTGGCCGGCGGGCTGGGCCGGAGCCCCAGGGGAGAGCTCTTCTGGGAAAAGAACCAAAACCAAAACCGAAAGGATCCAGCACGCCAGGCACCCCTGTGATGAATCAACAAGGGGCGGCGGATCTGGTGGCCTTCGGCTCATCCCGCCACCGTTTGGGTGTCGGAGAAAAGCGCCTCGTGGGGGCGCCTTGGAAGTCTTTCGAGTGACGCTTAGCTGCTTCTGAGGCCACCAAGACGGCCCAAGATGCGCCAAAGAGGGATTTGAGGACGGGTCCCTAGACCGTCTTAGGCCATGCTGAAAGTTTGAAATTCCAACCACGCTCCCGAGGCCTTTGAACAAGTCACGGGAGCCGCCCCGAGAGTGTCCAAGCGTGCCCAAGACCGCCCAGGATGTTCTGATTATACCCAAGACAAAGAAGGGACTTGAGGATGCTCCATTCAGTGCTTATGGTACGATGGCGGATCTAGCGACCTTCTGCCCATTCCGCCACCGTGCCTAGGTTGTGGAGTGAAGGCCTCACTGATGCTCTTTAGGACCTCCCTGCTGGCAGACTTTTGAACTCGTTGTCTTGGTGCATCTTGGGGGCGTCTTGAGGGTATGATGACGGCCTCGGGGGGGCCATCTAGGGGGGGAATGGCCGCTGGAGCAGCTTGGAGGTCCCCCTTTGGGACCCCTCCTTGGACCCCCTGTGGAACTCCTCCTTGGACCCTCTTGGGGGCATCTTCAGGTCCCTCTTGGGGGCTTCTTGGGGCGATCTTGAAGGGCTTCTGGACCGTCTTGGACGCTCTTCAGACCGAAAATGCGACGATGCCAAAATCATTTCGAAACCATGCATTCTTCAATACCTGTGGCCTCGCAGGCCAGCCCAAGACACTCCAGGACGGTCCCCCGCGACCACCATGAAGCGATTTGAGGGGCGGCCTAAACCAAGCTCTCACGGCGTCGGGAAAAGTCACGCAGAACATCCCGACAGCGCTTGGAGGCGCCCAGGATTTACGTGAGTTGGGGACCTTGGGGCCCTTCGCCGAAATTTGCAAGGCCCATTGCAAGACTCTACACTGCGAACTCGAAGGGGCCCCGCGGCACTCCATTCAGTGCCTAGCGACACCGCGGCGGACAGCACTAGAATTGCACAGCATCGCATACCATAACCTCAGACCATGGCGCCGCATTGCCCCTTCCACTAGAATGAGCACTGGCAAAGCATGGAATAGCATAGTTCGCACAGCACCGCGGGCCCAGCACGGCATGTAGCACAAACTCGGGAGCCTGGGAGACCGCAGGAGGCTTGGAGGGGAGGCACCTCCAGGGAGCCTCCGACCGAGCGGCCGGGGCTGCTGGGGTGCAGCTGCCACCGGGCCTTACTGCAGCAGGGGCTCCCATGGACAGAACTTGTCGATGGTCTGTGGAGCGAAGGATCGTCCAGTACAGTCTTTATGTCGTAAGTCTCCGCCTCTAGCGACGAAGCACGTGGCCTGCTCTCGGTGCACCGCGCTCCATCTTCTGCCGAAGTGGTTCCGTGGACAAGCACGCGCTGGTTTTTGCACACGCCTCCTGGCCCATGGAGCCCACGTGGGGAGGTCATACCTGGGAGCGATTGCAGGCAGCCCTGCAGGCTCGGCATCCTCGAGCTCAGCTGGTGAACGCAGGTGGGCGATGGCAGAGATGTCAGCCGATTCCCACCAAATCGGGAATGCGGGGCCTGGCGTTTTGGAGGGTAGCGCCGATGGCGGCCAGATCGAGGGCCCCCGAGGGGCCTCAGACCCTCGTGTCCTCGCCCTTGCACCTCCGAGCGCCCCGCCGCCGTCGAGCATGCACCCACGCGGGCATATCCGAGGGCACCAGCAGGCAGCCACGTGGACTCGAAGGTGCGGCCCCCCTCCCCCCCCAGACGACTTCCCCACCTCTGCGACCTCGCAATTGCTCCTGCTCCTTGCTTCGTTCCCACCCCTGCTCCTCGCTTGCTCGTTCCTCCCCATCCTCGCCCCTCATGTCCTCCTCCCTCGTTAGCCTCCCCGCCCTCCTGCGTGCGACTGTAACTTGCTCCTGGAGCCCCATCCTCGCCTGCTGCATCCTCCCCCTCCTCGCCTCTTCGCTTCTTTTTCATCCCGCACGGGACTGGGCCTTGCCTGCATCAGGAGCAGTGCTTCAAGGGCCTCAAGGTATGGGTTGCCAACGAGGCGACCGGGCCCTGGGGAGACCAGGATGAGGAAAAAGATTGAGGAGGAGGAGGAGGAGGAGCAGCAGCAGCAGGAAGGTAAGAAGGGGGAGGGAGAGGAGGAGAGGGATGAGGGGATTAGAAGGAGGAGGAGGAGGAGGAGGAGGAGGAGGAGAAGGAAGAGGGCGAGGAGGAGGGCGAGGGCGAGGGAGAGGGGGAGGGGGAGGGACGAGGAGGGGGATGACAAGCTAGGCGCGTTCGCGCCATATCTGACAACCTACCCCTCCTACCCATCCCTTCCCATTTCGCTGAACTCTGCTCTGTCCGCCGACTGCAGTGTCCTAGACGACCTTGATCCCCTAAGTGATCACATCGTGTGATGCACAATCAGAGGGGATTACTTCTTTACACATTGGAGAAGGAGGAGGAGGATGAGGAGGAGGAGGAGGAGGAGGAAGTGACAGATGAGCAGGAGGATGAGAAAGAGGAAGAGCAGGAGGACAAGGAGGAGGAGGAGGAGGAGGAGGAGGAGGAAGGAGGAGCAGCAGGAGAATGCAAGGTTTCAGGGCGTTGTTCTTGATCGGTGGTGCAGTGGAGTTGAACCCCTGGAAGGCAGCGCACTCCCACTTGACCAAAGGGCCCCGCTGTACAGGGCTTCAAGGCGGGCGTCTTGGAGTGTCGCAGTGGAATCGTACCACTGGTCGACAGGGTCGTCGTTTGGGACGGTGAACCCCGAGCGGAAGTAGCTGCTGTGGAACGTCACCCCGTTCTGTCCCGAGGCTTTGAGGACGGTGTCGGCGTAAGCTGTCTCTCGTTCTTCTTCGTGCCTGATACATAGATACGAACATTCTCAATGTAGTCATCGATGGACTCTAGCCTCCCGCTCCAACGCGGCATGATGCCGCGTTCGTCCTGCTGAACATCGATCCAAAGCCGTATTCGAACCACGTCCGAAAAAAAGTTCCATTGTACCACTATATTGTAGTATCGGGGGTATTGTCGGGGTTATCGTCGTAGACGCTTCTGATTATTGCCGATGTTTTTTATCCAGCGTTCTGTGCGATGATGAGTCTGAGAGTATGAGTAGAGATGGAAGTGGGCGCCTTCCGCGCCCTGAAATGGAAAGGGCGGCGCCTAACGCGCCTCGTCCAGCATAGGAAAGGGCCGACACACCGTCGGCTCAAGGGCTGGCTCTGGAGACAGAACCGAAACGCCAGCAGCTCACTCACTGATGCACATGCCTGTGCGCATTGCCTCATACTTTCCCTCCGCTGCTGCTTAGATGTCCTCCTTGTCTCCATGCAGCAACACCGCCCTCCTAGCCTCCATGGTCTTCCGCGTCCCCGGGGAAGCAGTCACTCCCGGGACGGAGAGGCGATATTTTGTCCTAAGCCCAAGCGGGCCGGGCCCCGACCGCCCTTACCCCCACCCCGACGGGGCCACGGGACACGGAGGGACGCTGGTGGACGACGGCCGCATGAGTGGTTCGACAGGCCAGCCAGCTGAGCCCCCCCGAGGCGTGGCAGATGTCGGGAGGCCTGTTGCAGGACTGGAAGGCCAGTTTCAACCAAAGAGCCACGCTGGCGATCCCACTGGCTGGAGCGGCCCGCCCCCTGCTTCCAGGTACCGCATCGGCCGCAACCACGCTGTGGGAGGAGGGTGCGGACCCAACAACGCGAGCCGTGGTCTGCCAAGACCCGGTCGAAGACTTCATGGCCGCCGTCAATTCCACATGGCTCCGAGCCTGGAAGGAGAACCCCGGCAACCCCCGAAGCGAGTACGAGAAGTGGTTTCGGGACGCTCGAGGGGGGAAGACTGGGGGGGCCCGAGACCTCGGGAGGCGCGCCCACCACCCAGAGGGCGGGAGCCAGAGGCTCCAGCTGGTCCCCGAAGGGGCCCACCCCCAGCACCGACCGGGCAACTCCAAGCTGGCTGAGGAACTCCAAGTTGCAGCGCTTGGCCCTCAAGGAGGAGGAGGAGGAGGAGGAGGAAGTCACGCGGGCCCGAGCGCCCCCTGAGCCACCCGCAACCACCACAGCAGGGTTGAGAGCCCCTCCGAGGGCCCGGCGCCCACCCAGCGAGAACGGGGAGCACACGACGCAGCCCCAAATCGGGGGGGGCGGTTCAGGGGGCAACGCGACGCGGTTTGGGTATGTGTGTGTTTGTATATATAGATACACATATAATATGGATGAATACCAGGTCCCCGGCCCCGGGGCTCCGGCCCACCCCCGGGACATCCGGGTCACGCCCGTGTTACCCCCCCCGGGGGCTCCAAGACGGCCCAAGAGGCCCTCGAGACGGCCCAAGAATGTTCCAAGACGGTCCAAGAGGGCCCAGAGTCGCCGAAAGATCGGTCCAAGACGCCCATGATGGCTTCCAGACGACCCAAGACGCCCCCAAGAATTCCCAGAGGCCTCCAAGAGGCCTCCCAAGACGGCCCCGAGAGGCTGAAATCGTTGATTTGTCATGTGCTTTTTCTATGTTTTTTGGTTTCTCGCTGTTTCCGCTTTCTGAGGCTCCAAGACCGCCCAAGAGGCTCCCAAGACTGCTCCAAGACGGCCCAAGATGCCCCCAAGAGAGCCCCAAGACGGCCCAAGAGAGAGCCCCAAGACCGCCCCGGATCCGCCCAAGACGGCCCAAGAGTGCCCCAAGAAGGCCCCAAGAGGAGCCCAAGAGAGGGAACACGAACCGAAAAATCGAGCTCTCCGCCCGAAGATGCCCCCATGAGAACCCAAGAAGCCCCCAGGACGCCCCAAGAGGCCCCCAAGAGGGGCCCAAGAGGCCCCCCAAAGGCCTCCAAGAGGCCCCCACGAGGCCCAAACGAGGCCTCCACGCGACACACATGACGGCCCAGACAGCCCCAGGAGGACCCGAGGACAGTCCTCTTGCAAAGCAAAAAGCAAGGGGATGCGCAACCAGCCCAAGGGATATTCAAGAAGGATGCCGCGCGCATTCTGCACCCACCTTTGTCAGTGTCATGGCTGTTCGGGCTCAAGGGCGCCCTTGCATCACACTGCAGCGTCGCGGCCATGGGGCCCCGTCGTTGCGGGGCCTCTTGGGGGGCCTCCTTGGGAAGCTCCGTGGCCGCTTGGAGTCACCTTGGGGCGGTCTTGGGGCCTTTTTGAGCATCTTGTGAGCCATCTTGAGCTATCTCGGAGCTCATCTTGGGCTCTCTGAGGCCCCCTTGGAGCCGTCTTGAGCCGTCTTCGACGATCTGACCGCTCGCGGGGACCCCATTTAGGTCCAGGGGAGATGGTTAGGGGCAGAGGTGCCTTCCCCGAAGGGGTAGAGGGAAGGGTGGAGGGAGGAAACGCGCTTAACCACCTACGCACAGGGAGCCGGCGGGATTCTCTTTGCAACTCCTCTCATCCCTTGTTCTGTCAAACGAATGCTCTGCCTGTGCCGCCCTAGAACCTAAGCGCGCGCGAAGCGTGCGCGTGGTTCCAGTTTACACATATATATACATATATATATATATATAGAGAGATATATATATATATATATATATACACATATATATATGGTAGTTTTCACAACTGAGGGCTGAGCAGAGGCAACAGGTCGGACGTACTCATGTCTGGCTCGAAGTTTTTTGGGGGCACGCCTCTTCGCCCCTTTCCCCGCCGCAAGTGCTCGGCGCTGTCCGCCTCACCGCGCCGTGGCCGGGGCAGATCGGCGCCGCCTGGCTGGTGCGGCCACGGGAGTGCCCACCCTGCCCGGCCTGCCCAGCGGTCGACGCCCGCGGCGAGCCGTTCGCCCGCCTCGGCAGAGTGCCGGGGCCTCGCAGGCGGGTTCGCCCTTGGCCTGCTCGCCGGCGCGCGGCTGGCGGCGGAGGCGGCGGTGGTCCTGCAGGCGTTGCGGCGGCTCGCGGGCTACGCGGGCGTGTGGCTGCGCCCTGGGCACGACCTCGAGATCGACGATCTGGGTGCCGCAGCCCGCGCACAGGTGACGGTGCTGCGCCAGCTCGCTGCCCAGTGATGGCGGCGGCTGGTCCTCGTGCCCTCTGCTCGCTCGCCGCGGCGGGCGTCGCCGTCGGGAGCTTCCTCGGCATCCAGCATAGGGGTGGAGGGAGGGAGCTCGTGCATGAGCGCGTCGTGGTCGCCCTGAACCCAGGCACTCCTGGCACTGCCGCGGTCGTCGCGGTCGACGGCGAGGAGTACGACGAGCTGGTGGTCGGCGGCGCGGACACGCTCCACTGGGACCTGCTGCCTGGAGGGGCATTAGGCGGGGTCTTCCTGTGGTCGCCAGCGGCACGGTACTTCCATCTCGGGGCGGTCCCCACGGCCACGGCGCCCACCGCTGCCGCTGGCCGCGCCCGCGTCCGCCCGGGCCCCGCGGCGCCTGTCGGCCCCGTGGTGCCCAACGTCGCGGGGCGGGGCCCCCTTGCGGCCGCCCCTGGGGCGGCGCTCGCGGGTGCCCTAGCGCTGCATGCTGGCGGTGCACCAGGCCCAGAGGGCGGCGGAGTGGCCGCGCTCGGGACTGCGCTCGGAGGTCCAGCAGGCGACGCTGTCGGAGGCGTACTCGCACCGGCGCCGGCGCCAGTGGCGTCGGCGGTCGCGCGGCGGGCTCCCGTCGCAGGGGGGGCACCAGCGCCGTCCGCTGGGCTCGGCGCGCTGGCCCCTCGGCCAGCCGGGCTCGCCAGTGTCGCCGCCCCCGGCGGGGCGGTGCCTGCCGCAGTGCTTGTGCCCGCGGGCGGGCCAGCTGGCGGCGGCCCGGCCAGCCCCTGCGGCTACGCGCGCATCTTCGCCGTCGTGGGGAACTTGCAAGGAGCGCGGCGCGCCGACCTCGGGAGCATGGTCACCCATGTGGTCGAGTTCCTGTGGCATGACTGGCCAGCGCACGGGATGCGCACGCTGCTGTGGGTACCGCAGTGCCTGTCTCAGAAGACGGGGACTCCGACGGCCCACCGCCACCGGTGGCTAGCGGAGACTGAGCACGTCCCCGAGTCGCCGGGCGTGGTCATCCACCAGATGGGCGGCATGGTGCTGGGGTCGGCAGTGACTTACGATCTGGAGTTCGACGGGTTGGCGTGCGTCTGCCCGGCCCTTCGCGGCTACCTCACGCAGGAGTTGCAGCGGGATATGGCGGTGGCGAAGGAGAGGCGCAAGACACGAGAGGAGCTCGCCCTCGCCGGGGGCGCGCCCGCCCAGCCTGGCGCAGGGCGCGGGAGGGGGAGGCGCGGCCGCGGCCGCGGCGGCCGCGGCGGCGGGCCCAACGCCGCAGGGGGCGATGGCTGACTCGCCCCGGGGCGGAGGGCCTGGCCAGCCGCCGCCCCTGTCCCCCGCGGAGCCCGCCAACAGCGTGGGCTTCCCCCCTGGCGGCGCAGGGCGCCGGCTGCAGGACGACGACCGGCAGCGGGACATCTTTCCGCTCCCGCCGCTGGCTGCTGCTGACGTGACGCCCCGCGTGTCCGGGACTCGGCGGCGTGCTCGGGCCGGCCATGCTCTCACGCACGCGCTGGACCGCGCCAGTGCCGCCGTGCATGCCTTGAATGACCTCTACGGCGACCAGTCCTCGCCCGCGCCGACGCCGTCTGCCGGGCAGCGCTGTGCCGCCGCTCACATTTGGGCCTCTGTCGCTGCTCTGGGCCCTGAACCCCCTGAGTATCGTGACGACGTCTCCGACAACAACGGGGCCCTGAGGGAGCTCCTTGCTGGGTCCGCGCTGCACCCTGACGGCGGTGGGCCCACCACTCCCTACGTGCCAGACCTTGTCTCCTGGCCTGATGTCTCGCAGCCACCCGCGCCGCTTCTTGGGCTGCTGGGCGCGCGTGACTCGGCCGCGCTGCGGGAGTGGAGGTGCCAAATGCTCCGCGAGCCCGAGGAGGCGCGGCAGCTACGGGCGGAGGCGTGCCCGCACGGCCCGCGCACGGACCCTGCGCTGCTGCGCTCGCTGCCCGACTACGCCGCCTTCCTCAGCGCCATGATGGAGCGCAGCATGCTGACGTTCGCCCCTGCGCGAGGGCGCCGGGGCAACATGGGGATCTTCTTCGTGCCCAAGAAAAGTGGTCGTCTGAGGGTCATCTTCGACACGCGGCTCGCCAACTGCGCGTTCGTCGATGCGCCTCGCACCCAGCTGCCGTCTGCTTCCGCCTGGGGGCGGCTCGAGACGGGCGACGTGCGGGTCTCCATCGCCTCGGCGGATCTGGACGTGGCCTTTTACCACATGCGGGTCCCGGACGGGATGGAGGAGTTCTTCGCGCTGCCGCCCATCCCCGCCAAGCACCTCGCTCCGTACGGGGTCGCGCTGGACGGGGTGGAGGGCGAGTCGCTCCTGCTGCCCCAGGTGGTGGCGCTGCCGATGGGCTTCAGCTGGGCCTTGCACCTCTGCCAGACGGTGCTGGAGGCATCGTTGGGCCGTGCTGGGTTCCCTCAGAGTGACCTCATCCTCGACGGCCGCTGCGGCTGCCAGCTCACGAGCGACTTGGACTCGGTCGCGGGCGCTGGCTATGTGGACAACTACTTCGTCCTCGGCGGCTCCCCAAAGGTTGTGAGCGAGCGGCTGCAGGCCATCGCCGACGATCTGACGCGCCACGGGCTCACCGTGCACGAGCTCGAGCCGCCCTCCCAGGACCGCGACTTTCTGGGGCCATCGCTGCGCGAGGGGCGCTGGCTCAGCCTCAGGGCGCGCAATATCTGGCGGCTGCGCGCGGCCATCCGCGCCACGCTTCGGAGGCAGGTCATCAGCGGCTTCTTGCTGCGTGTCCTGACCGGCCACATCACCTGGGCGCTGCTGCTGCGAAGGGAGCTGCTGTGCATCCTCGGGGCCACCTACGCCTACGTCGAGGCCACTGGGCCAGTAGCGTCACCGCTTTGGCCCGCTGTCCGCCGTGAGCTGCAGCTAGTCCACGACCTGCTGCCGCTCTGCATTGCTGACCTTGGTGCCCCGCGGCGCGGGCGAGTTGCTTGCACGGACGCCTCGCCATTTGGGCTGGGCGTCGTCGCTCGCCGCGCCCCAAAGGACTGCGTGGGCACCATTGGTAGAGTTGCTGAAAGATGGAGGTACAAGGTCGAGGGAGGTGCGCAGGCAAGGCGTAGGACGATCGGGATCAACGGCGATAACTCGTCCGAGCAGTTTCGGGGGCCTCGAGGGCGACTTCGGGGTGAGTACTCAGCTCGTCGGGGATGTCATCACCGAGGGCCTGCCGTTCGAGGGCGTCTTGGGAGAGGCCTCTGAGGGCCCGGTCGGGCTGCAGCTACCGAGGGCTCCTAGGGCCACCGACAAGTCGATCATGGACATGAGGCCCGTGGTGGACTTCGACGAGGTCCCGCCCCACTTCATCCGTGGGCCCGCCTGGGGCTCCGTCGCCGCCGTGTACATCAAGGGGAGGGCCGACATCCTGGCCCTGGAGGGGGAAGCGCTCGTCCTTGGGCATCGGCACCTCCTGAGGTCCACATCCGCATTCGGGTCTCGGTTCCTCATCCTCTCCGACAACCTGCCACTCGTCTTGTCCGTCGGGAAGGGCCGGGCCCGCAGTAAGCACCTCCAGAGCACGCTTCGCAAGATCTGCGCGCTCTCCGTGGCCACTGGCTCAACCTTGGCAGTGAGATGGATACCCTCGGAGGCCAACCCCTCCGACGCGCTCAGCCGCGGGCGCGCTGGCTGGTTCTCTGGCAGTCGGCCTGCGCCGCTGCCCCCTGGTGGCGGGCTGCTCGCCCATGCGGCGGCTTGTGCTGGTGCTGGCGCTGGCCCAGGCTGCGGCGGCGGCTCGCCGCTCGGCCGCCCCGGCGCCCTCGGCGCTTCGGGCCAAGCGGGCGAGCCGTGCGAAGGCGCTAGCGGCGGAGACGGCCGCGGTGGCGGGGCTGTCGCTGCTCGAGCGGCTGGCGGCGAGGAGCTCGACGGCGCGCCTCTACCAGGGGGCTCTCACCAGCTTCGTCGGTTTCTGTGTCGAGCGCCGCCTGGACTGGGCGACCCACTCGGGCCTGGACGACACGCTGGTGAGGTACATGGACAACGAGTTCCTCCTCGGCGGCGGCGGCAACCAAGGGAACGTCCTCTTGGCGGCGGTGGCGCACTTCCTCGGCTCGTTCCACAAGCGGACTGCGCTGCTGCTGCCGAGGGCTCACCGCGCAGCCGCGGCGTGGGCGCGGCGCGCACCAGGGCGCACCCGGCTGCCACTGCCGCGTCGCGTGGTGTTCGCCTTGGCTGGCCTCCTGGTTCACGACGGGTCTCCACGGCTGGCCATCTGCATCCTCGTCATGTTCGCCTCGTACCTCAGGCCTGGGGAGGCAGCGAAGCTGCGCGGGCGGCATCTGATACCGCCGTCGGAGGCGGCGGGCGCCGGCTACCAGTTCTTCGGGCTGCTCCTGCACGAGAGCGGGCAGGAGCCAGGCAAGACGGGCGTGAACGACGAGAGCATCCTCTTCGATCGCGAGGCATGGCTCAACCCGCTGCTGCACGCTCTGAAGCAGTCCACGGCGCCGTCGGAGCCGCTGTGGGGCCAGGAGGTGGACCGACTGAGCGTGCTGTTCGCTCAGGCCTGCCGTCGGCTGTCGCTGGATCGGCTTCGCCCGCACTTGCACAGCTTGCGCCACGGGGGAGCCTCGGACGACATGCTCTCCCAGAGGCGCCAGCTGGGCGAGATCCAGCGGCGCGGCCGCTGGCGGACAGCCAAGAGCCTGAACCGCTACACGAAGGAGACCAAGCTCTTGGACGAGCTCGCCTGGATCCCGCCCGAGGTGATGGAGCTCGGGGCCTTCGTCGAGAGCAACCTGGAGGCGCTGGTCGGCGGCTGCCTGCCCAACTGGCTAGCGACTGGCCGCGTCCCAGCCGCCGCCGCGTCGCTCTTCCGCCCGCTGCCTCAGGGAAGGCAGCCGGCCGCCAGAGGCCGCCCACGCAGGCGGCCCGCGGCCCAGGCGGCGACGGCGGCTGCCCGCCTGCGGACGCGGCGAAGCGGCACCTGCAGCGGCAGCATCGCCGCGCGGCCGCGCCAGGCCTGGCCCTCAGGCGCCGCCCCGTGCTGGAGCTCTTCTGCGGTGCCGGCAGGATCGCCGAGGCGCTGCTTGCCCGCGGCGTCGCCGCGTTTGGGCTCGACTGGCAGCGCAGCCCACTGGAGGATCACGTGCTGCCTGCCTTCATCGCCACCGTCGTCGGCTGGATCCGGTCGCGTGCGGTGGGCGCCGTCTGGCTGGGCACACCATGCACCAGCTGGACGCGAGCGTTGCGGCGCCCGCCCAGGTCGGATCGCTACCCGTTCGGGCGGCCCGACCTCTCATCGTCTGAGCAGGCTCGCGCCGCCGCAGGCAATGCCACGCTGCGCATGACAGTGATCATAATTCGTGAGTGCATATCTGCCCGTGTGCCCGTCTTTCTCTCGTCTGGTCGTGCCCTCCCCTAGCTCGTCTGTGTCGCCTGCCGTCCTGCCAAAAGTCAGTTCTGCACCAGTGTCAGTACGGCGCCGATTTTAAGAAAGCTACGACCATCATGTCTTGGGGTGCAGGCCCCATGCACCCTTTACGACTTATCTGCTCTGGAAAAAGAGGCATTTGCAGTCGCTCGGGCAATCGTCATGTGATCTTGGAGGGCAACGACGAGCAAGGGCGAAAGCGTACTGCTGTCGCCGCGGTGTATCCTCGTCTCCTCGCCCTGGCTGCCTCGCGCTGTATCGTTGAGGCTTTGCACATTCAGCCTGGTCTTGCCCTCCAATCTTCTGCCATGAGATAGCCCTTTTTGCCTGCATTGAAGAATGTCTTATTCCATATATATATATATATATACGGCCTGCGGCCAGGAGAACCTTCGGGATCGGGTGAGGGTCGCACAGGTGGTCCTCTCGAGCGCGGTCGCGCTCCTCGTCAGCCTGGCCTCTGCTGCTCTCGCGCTTCCAGCTCCGTGAACGCCTGGCCCTGTGCTGCCCCAGATGGAAAAGGTGCCTGGCCCCAGAGCCGAGGCGAGCTGGTAGTTTTCACAACTGAGGGCTGAGCAGAGGCAACAGGTCGGACGTACTCATGTCTGGCTCGAAGTTTTTCCCGTGGCCATCCCGAATCGCCTTCTCGCCACTACTTTTCGGGTGAGGGTCGCACAGGTGGTCCTCTCGAGCGCGGTCGCGCTCCTCGTCAGCCTGGCCTCTGCTGCTCTCGCGCTTCTAGCTCCGTTAACGCCTGGCCCTGTGCTGTCCCAGATGGAAAAGGTGCCTGGCCCCGGAGCCGAAGCGAGCTATATATATATATATATATATATATATATATATATATACATATGCATTCGGGTATATGGCCACGGGCACCCGTTCCGCCTGCGCGATCGGATGGAACCAATGGCTTTTTCGTCACGAAAGCCAGGAAGCTGAGTCCCTTCCCGACGGGCCTGGGTCGAGAGGGAAGGAAGAAGGACGAGGACCTCCAGCTGGATTGGGTGGTGCACCTGGCTCACTTCCAGAAGCGCTCGGAAGGAACGATCAGGGGGAAGCTCATGGTGGTCCGGCACTACCACGCGGCAGCGGGCTACCTCGACCCGTCGGGCTGGCCCCCTGCTTCTGGCTGGCGCTGGGAGGCCTCCGCCGGCTCGGGGTGAGAAGAACCGCAAGTACACGGTCACGGTGGAGATGATGGCCTGGCTGCGAAAGAAGCTGGCCACGGGAAAAGTAGGGAATGCCGCCATGTGGGCCGCCATCTCGGTGGCCTGCTCCATGCTGCGCGCATCGGAGCACTGAGCGGAAGCCTTCAAACCCCGGGCGGCGGGGCGGGTGTTCTTCGGACCGGAGCCCGCTGAAGGGGGGGGCCGTCTGCGCCACGTTCCAATGGGCGGACGAGGTATTGACATACATCAAGGGAAACAAGACCGACCAGTACAACTTCGGGCGCTGTCGGAATCATCACGTCACTGGCAACGACCTCTGCCCCGCGAAGGCGCTGGCGGAGCTGGGGCGGTTGGCGCCGCAGCGACGGGCCTCGGAAGGACACGCCCCTCTGTTCCAGGATCAGGGGGTCAGCCCGACGAGGCGCCAGGAGGCCAAGCCCCCCATGGACCAGGCAGCGGCGGTCGTGGGAACCCACCCGTCGCACATCGGAGGCCACCCCCTGAGGATTGGAGGGGCCACGGCCATGCGGCATGCAGCGCCCGACCTGGGGCGGCTGACACGCTTCGGCCGCTGGATGTCCAACGCCTTCCACGCCCACCTCCGGGGGGCGCGCGAGCCCCAGAAGGGGTCGGCGGAAGCGATGTCTGCCCAGAACTACCAGCTGCACGCTGGGAAGCACGAGCTGGCTAAAGCCCAGCGGCGGAACGGACGAAGCGCGGCGGGGAGTTCGGATCTCGCCCGACCCGCCAGAGGAACGCCCTCCTCCGCAGGACAGGGACAATACTCCAGGTGGGCGGCGCCCAGGCCGCCCACGCCTGCCCCCGCGCACTCCGGCCCATGAGGCCGGGGGGGTCAGGGGCAGCGCGCCACTCTGACGGGCGGCCGCGAGGGCCGCGGGGGCCTCGCGGCGAGGCCGCGCCCTTTTGAAGGGGAGCCCCCCGCGCCAATTCTGCCCCCTCGCGCCGCGCCGCGCGGCGACAGGTTTCAGGGGGCCCGCGGGGCCCGCGCCCGAGGGCGAAAACCCCGAGGAGGCGCGGGGGGGCCCGCGGCCAGAGACGCGACTCTCCAGCATTGGGCACCTATTTCTTCTTGCTTTCACGCTGCGTCTGGAGCGCGCATCAGCTGAGGTCGCGGCGCCACAGGGCGCGCCAGTTGAGTTTGCAGCGCCAAGGCGGGGCTGGGCCCCTCGGCGCTCAGCGCCGCGGGCGGCGGGCCGCTAAGCGGATGTGCCCACGCAGAGCGCCGCGGGGAAAATGGCTCTCGCCCCGCCCCCTTCCCGAACATAGGGCGCGGCTCCAGCTGGGGAACTCGTTTCTGTTAGGGCCCCGCATTCAACGATTGGATTTTCCCTTGAGCACGCCGCTTCTCCCTTCGTCTCTTTCTCACGCAGCAGCCGTTTCGGGCTCGGGTCAGTCGCGCGCCCCCCGCCCCCAATTTCCCCCCGTCCCCGCGCGGGCGGGCGGCGGGCCGCAAGGTGGCTGAACCCACGAAGAGCGCCGCGGGGAAAATGCCCCCCTTTTTTTCTAGCAGGGCGCGGCCCCAGCCGGAAAATCAGGATGCATTGTCGAGGTCGCGACGGCATCGACCCAAAAACCGGCCCACGGGGCCCCCGAACAGGCTCCAAGATGGCCCGGGGGGGTTGCCCAAGACGTGTCTAAGACTCGCAAAGCAGGTTTAAAGTGGCAAGCGGGTTAAGACGGCCAAGCAGTTTGAAACGACCATGCGGGTCAAAACGGCCAGGCGGGCCCAAGCGGCTGGGCGGCCCAGAATGGCTCGGCCGGCGAAAACGAGTTACAGCGGCCAGGCGGGCTGAGACTGCCAGGCTGGTCGAAAAGGCCAGGCGGGCCAGTGCAACCAGGCGGGCCGAGACGGTCAGGCGGGTTAAAACGGCCAGGCGGACCAAAACGATTAACGGGCGCAGCGCGGCCAGGCGGGTTCAAATGGCCGCACCGATGGAAATTGCCACGCCGCCAACATGGCCGCGCGGATTGAAGCGGACATTCGCGTCAAGACGGCTGTAGAGGGCCCGAAGACAGCCCGAGAGCCCCCCGAGAAGGCCGAAGTGGGCCCCGAGATCCCCCAAGGAGGCGACAAGGGCGAGGGGGGGGAGAGGACGCGCGAGGAGGAAGAACGCACAAGCCAGCGACGTCGCGCCATCACACAGGAAGTTGCGTTTTCCGCCCCCGCGCCGAGCAGGTAACGGAAAGAGCGAGGTACGAGTGATGACGTTCTGGTGCGGGCGAAACCCTAAAGGGAGGGGTTCCAGGGGAAGGGGGTAGCGTGCCCATATGGGCGTTAATGGCAGCTTTCGAGGGTTTTCCTTTTGTTTTTTGCATGTTTTTCGGGTTCCGCCCCCAGACGGCCCAAGAGCGCTCCAAGAGAGCCCAAGACGGCCCAAGAGGCCCCCAAGAGGCGCCCAAGAGGCGTCCCAAGAGGGCCCCAAGAGGCCGAAATCATCGATTTTCCATCGGAAAACGTATATTTTGTTGCATATGCGCTTTGTCGGCTTTCACGGCGTTGACGACGGCCCAAAGAGGCCCCTAAGACCGCCCCGAGACGGCCCAAGAGGCTCCCAAGAGGCCCCCAAAACGGCCCAAGAGGGCCCTAAGACGGCCCAAGTGGCGCTCAAAACGGCCCAAGAGGGCGCCAAGACGGCCCCAAGAGGGGGACCACGAACCGAACAGTCTAGCCTTTCGCCCCAAGACGCTCCCAGGAGGCCCCCAGAGCCCCCCAAGAAGCCCCAAGAGGCCCCCAAGAGGCGTCCCAAGAGGCCACCGGGAGGCGAAAATCATTGATTTTCTATTGGGAAAAGGTACATTTTAGCATACACGGTTTTTCGGCGTTCACGGCGTTGACGACGGTCCACGAGGCCCCAAAGACCGCCCCCAGACGGCCCAAGAGGCTCCCAAGAGGATTCCAAAACGACCCAAGAGGGCCCCAAGACGGCCCAAGAGGCGCCCAAGACGGCCCAAGAGGGCCCCAAGACGGCCCCAAGAGGGGGACCACGAACCGAAAAGTCTAGCCTTTCGCCCCAAGACGCTCCCAGGAGGCCCCAAGAGCCCCCCAAGAAGCCCCAAGAGGCCCCCAAGAGGCGCGCCAAGAGGCCCCCAAAGGGGCTCGAAAAGGGCCGCAATAGGACCCCCAAGAAGGCCCAGAGAAGCCCAAAAAAGAGCGATGGGTAACGCAAAAAGCTCTTCACACCAAGGCTCCCCAGAGCGAACGGTGACGTAAACAAGCTGATCAGACAAAGGCTTCCAGCAGGGAGCGGTGACGCAACAAGTTCCTGACACCAAGGCCCAGCCAAGGCTCAGGAACGGGCGGCATCGCAACAATCTCTGAACACCAAGGCTCCCAAAAGCGCGGGGTGACGTAACGAGCTTTCAACGCCAAGGCTCCCAGTACGAACGGTGGTGTGAGTAATTTCGGCTTCTGTTTCTGAAGCGCTCTTTCCGTTTCTGTGCCGGGCCCAGGTCTAGTGGCCTTAGTTAGCCCCAACCCGCAACCGCGCTTGGGTTCGGGGCCAGCGCCTTCCCGGGCGCCTCTCGGGGCCCCTTGGGATTCCTCTCGGGGCCTTCTCGGCATC